TGTGTGTGTGTGTGTGTGTGTGTGTGTGTGTGTGTGTGTGTGTGTGTGTGTGTGTGTGCGTGTGTGTGTGTGCTAAAGCTGATTAGCTGTGGCAGCTAATGCAAAGGTTTTAGGCAAAGATGCTGTGCAATAAATTGCAATTCAAGTATGTGTTCTGGACAATGCTCCGCTATTCCAACACCGAATTTTAGCTCATTATCTGTAAAACTGACTGAGATACTGCACTTGTGTTTTCTAAGGTCAGCTGGCAGACATCTTGAATTTGGTTGACTCCAAGTTGTAATCAGTCGTAGATGTTCATCTAGTTTACTTTTGAGAATTTAATTAAAGTCTGTTCAGTGGCTCGTGAGATATTTTGCTAACAGACAAGCCAAGTTATTTATGAAATTTAGTGGAAAACACAGATCTCAGCAGCAATTAGCACTCAAATGGTGAGCTGAGAATCAGTTTCAGCTACTGCCTCACCAAGGTTCAAGTAAATTTCTGTAAAACTTACTGAGTTACAGCCACTGTCCTGTTTACTACATGCAGTTCACTGTTAGCTGTGGCAGCCATGTGGCATGTGTGTTGACTCTAAAACTTAATCTTTTGTAAATGTACATCCATTTACTTTCTGAGCATTCCATCAAACTCTTTCCAGTGGCTCATAAGACATTTTGCTAACAAAAAAACAAACACAAACATTTACAATTACACCATTACTGAGAGGTTTTGTGTTTCTGTGTGTTTTAGTTTGTTGTCCTTGTGCATCCCTCTTGTGTACTCTTCGTGTCATTGCATGTTTACCTTAGTTTTACCTTTCTCCAGATCTTTCCACCCACACCTGTCTTTACTTGTAATTTCAGCTGTCTTTCATTTCCACTCACCTCTGTTAGTACATATTCTGCTCAGTTTCTCTTCATCCTCGTCCGTTCATTGTTTGGTTCTCAACCCTGGCTCCCATCGGTGTTCTCCTCGTGTTACCTGCTTGCTGTAAGTTTTTGTTTTGCCGCCCCGTCGGCTTATTTGTTTATTATTTAAAAAATACTTTATTTTTTGAATTCACCTGCCTGTCTGTCTGCATTTGGGTTCAAACCTGCCACCGAACCTGTCAATTACCAGCCTTTCAAGACAGTGGTGATAATATTCAAATTTAATCAGATTCAAGATATTCAGATTCAATATAATTAAACACAGTTAAATCTAAAAAAAATACAGTCTGGTTTAGTATAATTCAAAATGTCAGTTAATTAAAAAACTTTCTATTTAAGGAAGTCACTCTTAAAATCAGTGACAGAAAGTGGAGAATTGCTCAGATTCCATTTTTTATCTCAGATAAAAAAATCAATTTAAAATGTTCTGATAAAAAATCATTTATTAGTTGATTTAGAACATTGTTACAAACATACATACAGCAACTCAGATCAGTGTTTTACTGTCCATGAGGATTCATCCATATTCTGTGCGCTCCATCTAGTGGCAGATAGGATTCATAGCACCTATAAAATACACAGAACTGTATTTTCCATGACGTTGAACGTGACAATCTTATTCTTAGCATACAAATAATAGCAATTTAATGTGAGACTTCACACATTTTAGACGTCTTCTGAAGACATGGCACAGTGTTATGAACAAATTACCCTACATAAAGTATAGGTCACATTTGCAAGTCAGTTGCTAAGTAAAAAATAATAATAATAAATAGATATAAAAAAACACATGTATATAAATTATTATCTTTATTAATTTATTTTGTCTGCTTAAGCCAACTATAAAAAATGACTAAAAATACACATTCTTCTATGAATATTTGTTTCCAGTCTCATAGTGCAAATTTAAATCAGTTTATTCTTGTTACAGTTACTTGATAAAACTCAAGCTCTTAAATCAGCAGACTTCCTTGGAGAAAGAGCTAATTATTTCTGCAGATTTGCATAAAGAAATAAATTACTCATCGCTCACTTTTTGTAAAAATATAAAATGCATATAAAGTATGCAGCATTTTGTGCATATGAATTATTCCTCTAACACTTGTGCAGATGTGAGTTCAAACAGACAAAATGTCAGACGAACACCAGCGTCACAAAAGAGAACCGTTTCCTTAATTTTAGGGAAATGAAAGCAGACTTTATGCAGCCTCTTTTTTCTCAATAAGGGGAAATAACTTTTTTCTTTAATAGTGTAAACAAATAATCGTTCACTTGTACATATTTTAAAAAGACTAACACACATGTTACATGTGTTTTTACTATAATAAATACATTATGTATAATATGTTTTGTTTTACATGAGAATCATCTCATGAGAAAATATTAGGAGGAAACAGCATTTCACAGGTGGGTCTTGGAAAACACTGCACAGTAATATTGTGCAGATAAATACAAACAAAAACTAAACTAAAATCCATCTTGTATTGGTGAAACGTTTTGCCATCGATCAATCACCATTAACACTATTTAAAAGAAACACTCCAAGCTGAAACTTTTCTGTTCCATCATAACGACATAATAAAAAAAAATACATTAAAACTAGCAGCAGGAGCATCCTGTTTTACAGCACAGAGGATACTTTAACAGCAGGCCCAACTTCTCTCCACAACGGTCAGTGTAACAAACGTCTGTGTTTTCAGTTTGAGCCGGTTAGGTCGTAGGAATTCACATTAGGAACGTTATTTCCACCAGATGCCAAATGAAAAATTCCTTCTCTTGGAATTGACCACTCAAACTGCGGTGACGCATTGAACTTCTCCAATAAAAAAAAAAAAAACTTCCTCACTTGAAAGGTCAAGCGTCTCGGAGATGCCAGTGGCACACACTCTCTGTTGCATCCCAGACTGCAACGGTCATCCTCGATGTTGGTGTGGCCAAGAAGTGACTAATGTGGTGTACATCTGCTTGACGAACAGTTGACGTCCTAGACTCTAGGGTGTGAAAGCTGTGGTCTGGCTGCTTGAATCCTCACGACGCTGCCTCCACTCCACTCAGAGGTATAACCTCCCTGAATGAAACAAATCAACCAAAGGAAAGAGTGAATATAGAGGTATTGGTCTAAATATAACAATGTATTTATGTGGCATATTGTACTCAGTAAACACTTACGGAGCATGGTCATTAGTTGCCACATGTTTTACTGATGTTAGAAGCCAAAAGAAAAAAGTTTTTTGTTTTGTTTTATAAAGTTCACATATTTTCGCAAATGTGCTGATATTCTTGTGTCTCTTATAGGTAGTGGTGTTGTCTTTACCTGTCATTCGTTTCTTGCATTTGCATATCACAGTACCAATCATTACAATACCCATTAAAATCACTGGTATGGTTACTGCTATTATCCCTTGGTGATTGTTACTGGGGCTGGTAGTTGGAGCACCTTCAGATGAGAACAAACACATACCAGAGTCAGAAACAGGGACAGAAACTTTATTTTTATTTGCAAAGCTCTTTTCAAAGTCAAGCAGCCACAACACAATAAAACAGAATAGCACACAACAGAGCATAAAAAATACATTGACAAATGATAAACCGCCAGTGACAAACATTAAAACTTATATGGCCACATTAAAAGCCTGCTTAAAAATGTGAGTTTTTTGCTGCTTTTAAAAAAAATCTATTAAAAGAAATGGCTATAAACCTGGCTGTCAATGATAAAAAGGTTAAACAGCTTTATGAAAAAATAAAATAAATGTAAAAACCTGGGGGAATTTTTGCATGTACAGTATTTTTAAAGTACATTAGATTAGGTGAGAACATGAAACCAATGTGACCACAGTGTTCCAGGGATATTTTAGAATGCTTTGAGGTAAATAACAGGGATTTTGGAAAACAGGAACATATTTTATCCTCAAATATGTAAACTTTAAAAGGGACATATCATGCAAAATTCACTGTTTTAGACATACCTTTTGTTGTGTACTTGGAGTATCTAGGAGTGCAGAAAATGTGAGTTTTTCCTGGTGCTGCAAAAATATCTTTATATTCTGTTTGAGTCATAGTTTTCAACCTGTTCAGTTTTTTCTATATTCTATAAACTATTACATCAAGTTATTTGTTACAAAACTGCCAAATAAAGTCTGGACTTAACAAATATGATTGTGTCATCTTCATTCTCCTCTGGCTCTGGGTCAGTCTTCCCTTGTTGACATATTTTTTATTAATTTGTAAATAAAAAGTTCTGTACCCCTATAAACCACTCTATCAAACTGGAGTAGACCAGTCTGGAAGCTGGATGAGTGCAGGGTGTGAAGCGCCTCCATGAGATTTAAAGAGACAGCTTCAAAACAAGATGATCAGAGACACACCTCAGAAAAGGGGTGAAAGAGGGGCTTGTGGAGTTACAATAAGGAGAAATTCAAACCAAAACATTGCGGTTCCACTTCATATAGATTCCAAATGAAGGATTTAAATGTGAAAAAGACGGATTTAAAAGCACAATATGATGCCTTTAAATGCATTTTAGTTAATTTATTTAGAATTTAAAATTATTTTATTATTATATGTTCTTTTGTGGGGTATGATTTCCAGGAACCAGCCTTCATTTGAAAGCTAATGTAAATTTGAGCATCAATAGTTGTTATAAGATGGGTATTTTATGGAAACTTGAGCCAAACTTATATGACCTAAAAATCAGTTAATATGTTTTTTTTTTGTTCGTATGCCTTTTTGTAGAATTAAAAATGAACGCTTTAAAATTTACAAAATTGAAATACTTTGGAAAAAACTGTGTGGAAAAGAAAGTATCTTTTTCTTTTCTAAGAAATGCAAATTAAAGTGTATTTAGAAATACAGTATAATAAGAAAATTTTATTCCAAAAACAAACTATTAAACATTCCAAGGGAATTCCATTGGTTATCACACTTTCTAAAACTTGTTAATGACTGAAAGCAAGAAGCAGACTTCAGTAAAGAAGGCATTTTTTTTTTGGTATTTCAATACTTACAGACTGAAATCACATCTGAGATGATGCTCCCCACAGAACAGCTGACGTTCACCTCACCAGTGGAGCAGTTTATGGATCCTGTGCTGGAGACGTTTAAAGTCTTTGTAGTTGGATCAGTCAGTACTTCAGTCTTCCACATCTCATTGCTGTCAGGCTCCATTTGCCAAGTGATCAGTTGTTTTGGAAACCCGTTGTGAGATGCACACGTCACATTGCAACCATTGTCTTCACACCTCTGTGTGATCAAAGGTTTACTGAAAGAGGCTGCAGGAAAGACAAACAAAAAAGTTGTAATATTTAAGGAACGTTTCTTTATTAGGTTTAATATAACCACTTTATTAGAAATAATGGATACATTTCACATCTAGTACCAGTAAATAAAAACTGTATTTTTTTACTTAAAATGTTTAAAATGATTTTTACTGACAAAATATTGTCTAGATATACTATATTCTAGAATGCATGTTGGTTTTTGGTATTTGGTAGACTAAATTCATCAGTGTGTAAATGCGTGTGTGCATGGGTGAATGTTTGTAGTGTAAAGCGCTTTGAGTGTCCTGGATGGATAGAAAAGCGCTATATATGTACAGTCCATTTACCATTTAGAAAGCCCTTACAGACAAAATAAAAGAGCAATTAAAACAACTCAAATTTAATTACTTAGAGTGTTTAAAGTTTAAACATTTCAAACAATGCAGAACGAGTCAAATTTGATAAAATACACTGATTAAGTTGCAGCTGTTACAACCAAAACAGCAATTTCAAATTCCATTATTATTTGTCTCGGCTCACTTTTCATATGTTTTTAAAAATTGCTCAAAACAGCAGTGGGAGCAAATTCTTTTCAACCTGTTTACATATGAACAATAACTTAAAATCTGTAAAAGCTACACAATAAAACACAAAGAAACATTTTAAACACTCATTTTTAATGCATGCATACCTGTGACCAAAAGGTGTAGTTTGATGGTGTGTGGGTCACCATTAATGTACATAATATAGCACGTATACTCTCCAGCGTGTGAAAGATTCAGCCCATACATGTGGATTGTTGTTTGGTTGAGATCCAGTCGTGTGTTTGGCCATGTGTCTTCTACAGATTTTCCGATGTAGTATCCGTTGACAAAAATGTCTCCTTTTTGAAAATACAAAAATTGCAGCTCCTGCGTGTCATCAACAGGACAATAGAAGGTGACATTTCCACCAACCATCCCTTCATATTTAAGATGAAAATGATTTTCTGGAAAACAAAACAAGAAATGAAAGCAGGAATTAGAATAACTATTGGAAACATTTCAGAACCCTTTGGGAGAAATGACAACAAAAAGTAAATGATTATCAAGAGGACTGCTATCATTTAGAGTAAACCCCTCCTGTTTTAAGGTCATGTGTGGGCGTGATGTTCAAGGGGTTTTTGTTAAATCTTGAGTGAGTCAGTAGAATAATTTCAGTTCTTCTAACGTTCATGGTTTGCCAATTTTTGGTTTATTTTTGGGTGACTTTCTTTGTCTAGCAGTGTACTTTTCATGTGTGTTTCTCTGAAGGCAGACGTCTTTCTGGGCATGTTTTTGGCCAGCTCTTTTTAGAAATGGTATGGGATTTTTTTTTCTAATCACTGACTTGTCTTCTATCTGTCATTTGGCGGGGGCCAAGTCTTTTAGAGCTATTTTGTCACTTTGAGGAAGATAATTGACTTAGCGAAACTAAAAAGGTAGCCGAGTCGTGTATGAGGTCATACAGTATCGGTTTGGTTCAGCTGATAGTTATAACTGAAAAGTGAATGTTTTTTGCACTTTTTGCAAATAAGTAAACAGATATTTACAAAAAAGGGATTAACTCTTCCTTGTAGACAAAAAAAAAAAAAAAAAAAAAAACTACAAAGATGAAACTGTTTTAAATAGCAGCACTGATTTATTAATTTTTTTTTCCTGTGGCAGATCTACTCATGTGCAACCACGCAAAGTGTTGTGACATTACTCCTTATTTTCATACTTTGATCAATCAGGGGCATCACTGTGAAAATGAGGCATCTGGTGAGTTCACCACAACAACAGAATTACTCACCTGCTGCAGCCGTGATTTTAAGAATCAGAACCAGGAGACAAAGAAGTCTTGATTTTCTGAAAAAAAAAATACACAAAAGAAAATGTATTAATTATAGCAGGACATTGCTGAACCATCCCATGAACACAGTACACACAGAGGTCAAAATAACTGATGTGCTGTCACATTCTCGTTGCCAAATAAATACACATTAAAATGCTTGTTTCAATAAAGTTTGGATGAATAGAGTTGACTTTAACCAGACTTAACCATCAAAATAAATTGTGTAGTAAAGAACATTTTACCAGTACACAACTAGAATATGCTGTACATCTAACAGTGAAGGTTTCTATTTGCATTCATCCTTTAAATTTATGAGGTTTTATGAGGCCATGAGGACTGCTTGGAGGTGTAGCTGGTTGGCACTGGTGCTTTGCAACAAGAAGGTTGTTAGTTTGACTCTGGATTTCTGTGTGGAGTTTGTTTGCTTTTATGTCTATCTTTTTTTCCAGGCAGTTGTGTTTCCATCGTCTTTCTACTGTCACTCCTCTAGACAAGTCCAAACTATCTCAGTCTGGCCTCTCTAACTTTATCTCTCAGATGTTCAAACTGTGTTGTACTTCTGATTATCTCATCATTTGTTTTGATAAACTCGACAAAAGTGTTTTACATTAAATGCTCTTTACGATGAAACACTTACCATTTACCATGACTTGGGACCGGCACAAGAAATACACTAATATGTAATTGGTGGTTTCATTTTAGGTTAACTGATTATTCTTAACTGTCACGAAGTGCCCTTGTGAGTTAGTGGTCTTTCCACGTGTCCCTATCCCACTGACTGATAGACACCAGCTGCCTCCCCAAACCTAAACAGCAACAATCGAGTAAAGAAAACAAATGGTTCAGAGATATGATACTTTTTCAGCAGCCTCGCTTGAATCTCATCTAATGCATTTTTGGTCAGGAGCCATTGGCCTCGCAGTACCGGATGCCTTTTTAAATTTTCATGAGGGTGTTACACCAAAACTTGCCCAAATGATCTGTAAAGTTAATATTAAAAAGCTAGCAAAATATGAGTGAATCAACGTTGAAATATGGTTAGGCATCAACGTTCGTCAATGTGAAAATTATATCAGTGACTTGCATGTTGAAACAATGTGAGGTTTTCAACCATAACTGACTTGTAATCAATGTTGATTCAACCTCTTTTCCCCCTCTCCCTTCGCTTCCTTGGAGCGGGGACAAACAGCATACAATGAGTCAACATTGATTAGACGTTGGCATTTCATTTATTAGAATTCCACAGTGAAACAACATTGACTCAATAACATCTTTTCAACATTGGTTAATTGTTAGAATTGAATGATTGTTTGATGTTTGATTCACCATCAATCATCAACCTAAACCAAAACTCAACTTTTTTGACCATAATTCAACATTGAATTAACATCTTGGGGAAAGTAAATGATCAGGTTTGTTCATCAGTGGCATTTTTTGTGAAAGGGCTTCTGACCAAACTCTCAGTTTGAATCCTGAGAAAGTCATCACGCCACCATAAAAAGTGATTGTGATGCTGAGAGTCTCTGTGTTAAATCTGCCTGAAGTTCAGTCACTGACAGGTGAATAACCTAAAGTTACTTTTTGTGCACCAAGGGGTACATTACATCAATATGTAATGAGCTGAAAGTCTTAAGTTGGCATTTTGATTAAAACATAAATCCCACTCTGTGATGCAGCATCACAAACTCATTATCACTTGTTAAAAAGGATCATGTAAATGCCTGCAGCTGTACGTGACTGTGTTTATGTCTGTCCATTAAATCTCAAATTATCTCATAAATCATTGAATAAATCAGGAGTCAGCACTCTTCAAAATGACCACCATAGTTAATGGACCTTAAAAAAGACAATAAATGGGCTATAATCCCACCTATTTTAAAGATATTGAGCTGAATTTACTACTAAAATACTTGTTTTCCAGCTTAATAATTTAGCATAGCAGAGATATGAAATTCTCAAAACAAACTGGTTCTTTCATCAGTTTTATAAACCTTCCAGTATTGTTTCATGTCACGCTGCGCTTTTAAGGAAGGAATATTTTCTCAGCTCAGACAGTTATTTGTTTTTGTTTCCTGGTAATCGGTAGTGGTTTGCTTACAGTAAATCGGCACTGATTACACAGTTTCAGTCTTCAGTATCGCTCACACATGTTGTGACCATTCTTGTTGTGATGGCTACCACTGTTTGGCACAAACTTAGCGCTGATGATGATTTCGGTTGTGTTGACACGTCTGCTTTTGAAATATTCAGATTTAAAGTGCCATGATGTGAAACTGGGGGTGGGGTTACTTACATGAGCCGAGGTAGCCAGCTTGATGTCTATTGAAAAAAGAGAAGGTAATTATTACAGAAAGATGAACTGATTACTTAAGTCAGACAAGTACAAAATCCCTTTTTTTACAAACTCAACTATAATTTTTGTAAATTACATTTTCATTGACTGTATAATAAATAAACAGTGTAGTAATAATAAACTGTCTGAGTTTCCTCACAGTGTTATTTTGAATACTACAAGGATACACCCGCAGCATTTACAGAGAACATGTTAAAGGAAAGTCCCAGCAGCTCAACAAAGAGCATTTGTTTTTCTTAAGGTTAAAACTTATAAAGGGGAGAGTTTTGCCTTCTTGTTCTCTTTTTTATTGTTGTTGTTTTTTTTCATAGTAACTAAATAATGCCAGATCCTGACATATTACCTAAGCTGTAGTTCCTGCTCTGTTGTATATTGTTTATCTGTTACACTTTCAGTTTTTTTCAAGTTTACCTTGACCTGGAGTCAGTTTATATATGCAGCGCATGTAAAACAGCACGAGATAATCAACATTTCATTCTCTCTTTCTCTGGCTCTTTCATTTCCCAGATGCTGACTTCACCTTACGGGAAATTCCCTGGCCAATAAAAAAAAAAAAAACAAAAAAAAAAACACATCCTGGCTGTTCTTACTTTTTACGTCTGATAAGACTGGAGAAACTGGAGGGAAGATGGAAACATAGTAAACTGCTGGAAATATGTCACAACCTTTTGAGAATAGTTCCTTGTCTCACAACTTTGCACCTAAAATGCACTTGTACACACAGACACACACACACAACAAAATAAAAAAACAGCACTGCAGGAAGAATGATCAGCTGCAGAATAATGAAAGAGTTGCTGAGTTAAAACATAACACCCCTTATTGATTGTTTTTTTTCTCGCCCAAGCAGAAGCAAAAATAAAGGGAAATCCCAAAAAACAAAGCATGATTCAGATTTAAGGTCAAGAGAAATGATATCAGCTGGATTGTGAAAGGGAAATTTAGCAATTGCAGTTATAAATAATTAACATGTAATCTTTTTTATATTGCAAAATGACTATTGATGTCATTTCAAGACATATTTGTGTGGACATACAGTAAGTCATCTGACTGATACAGTATGATTATAATTAGAATTTATTTTATTTTGAAACAACAGGAGAGGAAAGTTAACAAAGATGAATCTGAGAACTCAGTTATTAACACTACTTTTATATTTAAATACAGGCCCAGGTTCTTTACTTCATTCTGACTGTATGTAAGTTGATAGAAACACTGACTGGGTGATATTTCATTACAGTTTACGATGACCGTAAACATTTTGAGTAATCTCCTGTGTCAGACAGACTTACTATCAATCAGTGAACTGGAAGGATGTACTCTAAAAGCAGACGCTTAATGAAGTTTAAAGAAAAACCAACAGAATGCTGTGCCACTTTGGTTTTTGTCCCCTGTCGCCAAGGTCGTCCATCTGTCCGTTCACCTTATGAGATGATTTAAATCCCTTTTATTTTCTCCAGTGTTACCAATTATGTAAAATACCCTTTTTGAGACACAAAATGTGTTTGTCAACTTTGCCATTTTTACATGCAACGGGGGACATCAGCAACGGTTGGCATCGAGTTCTATCTTCTTTTACTCTGCTGTCCTTGAAGCCTTGTAAGTCATTTTGACCCAAGGGCAGCAGGTGGGTTAAGTCTGTGGAGCTCTCTCAGAGTTATGAGGTTTTGTTCAGACCCGTAAAAAATAGAGGCCATCATCTGTAATTGACTTCATCTCTTTATTATCCGCCGTGCCTAATATTATAAAAAAAACATAACTTTAAAACATTTTATCATAGGATGAAGATGATAACTCAGAACTAATATGCATTTTTTCAGACTGACCCTTTTGTTCTTTGTGGTGACCTAGATCAGTGGTTCCCAAACTTTTTTATCTTCTGACCCACAAAATAGTCATGGCAAAAACTTGTGACCCCAAATATTACTGGTCTGAGTACATGAACTTCATTAATAACCCTAAAAACACAGGCTTTTTGACAATCTAAACAGCTTGTGCACAAATATAAATACTTATTTATACTTATTTTGTGTTTTAGTGATAGTTATAGGGAAAATATTACATCAGCAATTATTTTAATATCCTTTAAATTGATTTCTGGAGATTATCCAAGGTGCTTCATGGCACATTCCAATCCCAACTTTGGGAACCAAAGTGCAGTGGTTTCCAAACTTTTCAGCTTTTGACCCACAAAATAACAGTAGCAGAGACCTGTGCCCCCAACTATCTTTGGATGATAAACATTTGTATCAGGTCAACTAAACAATAGTAATAGTAACAATATTTTTATACTACATTTATCCATTTTAAATACACTAACCTCACTCCTTTGTAACAACTTAGACAAAAATGTAATTAATTCAGAAAATCTTTTCAGGACTCCACCTTGATTTTTCAGGACCCCACTTTGGGTCTCGACCCAAACTTTGGGAAACACTGACCTAGACCACATCATGCAATAACTATTACTAATAATACGTAGTAATAGCATTACTTAATATAGAAGTCTCTTGGAGGAGAGACGAAACGGTTCATTAAAGAAGAACCCGTCCAGAGGACCTACTTGTTTTTTCTTTTTAATTATTTAATATAAAACTGTTTATGAAATACTAACTTAATTTATTTTGATTTGATCAATTAAAACTAAAATGACAGAAAAGATTTTGGGAGTGGGGTTCTCTGGAAAAGTTAGAAAGGTTAGTATCTTATCTGTTGCAGACAGGTTTTTGGACAAGCACAACTTGAAGCAAACAAGTAATTCTGACCAGACTGAGAAGCTAACAGTAAGTTTGATCAAGGCTGAACCAAAGCGGATTAAACAACTCCAGTAAAAAGGAATTTTATAATGGTTGTTGCTGACCTATTTTATGAACCTTTAAACAACCATTAATATAGCATTGTGCAGTTCCTTCCATTGAATTTCACAATTACTTGAATGTGCACATTATGTTAGCAGCGGCTAGATCTAGCATTTCTAGTGCAGCTTGGGGCATTTTGGGCAATAATATCATATTTTTGCCTAAATAAGTTTGTAATCTAAAAGTTTTTGAGAGTGATTTTTTGCATAACATTTAGAGACTGTTGTTTTAACACAGCAACGATCCATTTTAAATATTAAACTCTGTTTCTCCAAACTAAGATTAAGGTAATTCAAAATAGCAACTGTGATTCTTCAGTACCCCTTCATTGTTTTAGACAACAGAATAGAAATATTCCTGCAGGATGAAGGAAGCAGCACAAACAAAGAGCACTGTTTCCAATCTTGTGTTTGATGCCTTGTTTTGTTTTCTCTCCTTTGAGGCTAACTGCCTAAATGATCTCACGTTCAAAACATTTGCAGTGAAGCAATACCGAAAAGACGTGGGAATTCCCACGTGACGTAGCTTGTTTTACAGAGTCAGTGATTTGAGCTATCTCATTATATAACATGATAATACGAAAATAACAGGGTTAGGGTCACACAATCTGATTCAACAAGTTTTATGTCTATTTGTGTGAAAGCTATAGTGAAACTACAGGTGGAGGAACAGATACTAAAGGGATTTAGCAGGAATTATCTTCTACATCTGAAGTGTCTCTGCTCAGTTTTCTTCCAACAGTAAAAGACGAAACGTCTTTAAAAATTACTAGGTTTCCTCTTTCTCTATTTGAGTCAAATCAGATTGAGCTCTTGTCAAATAGTTAAACAAGCAGCCAGGGCAGTAGAGTAAACCAAAAGGACACATATGCAAACATAACAATCAAAAACCAAACATACTCTTGATCAGTGCTCTTAGTGGTACAAAGATATAAAGAACAGGCGTCGTAACAATCAAGCTGTTAAAATGTTGGCAAAGCAAGATGACGCATTAGGTATTTGTTATCTGTGTTTCAGACTGAACTAGTGCCTTATCTCACATCAACTTTACAGAAAACATGCAGCCTGTCATAAAAGAAAGTTGTTAGCAAAGTTGTTTTTATAGATCAGACCAAAGAGAAAAAGAGGTTTTACCTTCATGTTGAGCAGCTCTCTGTGTGTCTTTACACGAGCAGACTACAATAAGGAGAACTTCCCTGTGAAAACTATTTTATACATGGGGGTGGGGCCACTGTATGAGTCATAACACTGATGAAATGCTTCCTTTTTACCATGTGCTGGCAGAAAACATAGGTGAGTTAAAAACAACATAAACACACGCAGCAGTTCTGTTTTAGGCATGGACTTAATGTATAGCGACTAATGTTTTCAAATTTATTTCACTGGTTGGAAGAAAAGTTTGAAGTTTAAACAAAGTATTAGTGAGTGTGTGTGTGTGTGTGTGTGTGTGGGGGGGGGGGGGGGTGCGGATGGGCATTACCTGTCAGTCCAGGTGTTTGTGCTCCTTGTATTGGTGTCTCACAACTTCAGCTTGAACTTTTGTGAACCATGCCACATCAGCACCACCCCAGTGTTAGCAACATCCCAACAACTCACTGAGGTAAAAAGCAAACGTAAACTAAAGATCAGAGTTGGTCTCACTTTAATGATCTGTTTAAACACCACTACACAGGCTTGTCTTTACACATGACTTGATTTGTGCTGAACCAAGTTAGTCAGGATGCTTTTTACTGACTTTGGTTTGACCTTTGATGTAATTGTACCTCAAGATTCTGGTCAAAAAACAATTGCTGCTTGGTCTCTCTATGAATGGGTCCTGTAGTGTTTGACACACCGACTCCTACAGTCTGTCAAACAGTACATGCTCCCATTAAGATCATGTCCCTGTTTTCTCTTATTGAAGTCAGCTTAGACTCAGTTTTTGGAAGCTATCATTTTGTGATTGTGGATCTATAATTGGGGCTTAAAGGAGACACATCATGCAAAAAACTAATTTTTAGCCATTAAATGCATTCTGCTGTATATTTGGAGTCTCTAGGAGCACAGGAAATTTGAATTTAATCTTTCCCGGTGCTGCAAAGATATCTTATATTCTACTTAGTCCATAGTTTTCAGTCTTTTTAATTTTCACTATTTTGTACAATGTTTTCTGGACCATGACGTCAAATTACTCGCAACGGAGTTGTCAAGTAAGGTCCGTACTTGTCAAGTACAATTTTTACAATGTTTTACAATCTTCTTCATTCTCCTCTGACTCTGGGTCAGACTCTGACATGTTAAGCTGGATGGACAAGTCTTCCGTTGTTGACATCTTTTGATAATTTTTTTTTTTTTGTGCTGCTCTGTAGTCGTAAACCCCTCCATCAAACTAGAATGGACCAGTCTGAAAGCTGGAGGGAGGCCTGAGATTTAAAGAGACAGCTTCAAAACGGGTTGATCTGAGACACACCTCAGAAAAAGGGGTGAAAGACAGGCTTGTGGAGTTACAATAAGGAGGAATTCAGACCAAAGCATTGCAGTTCCCCTTCATGCAGACCCCAACTGAATGATTCAAATGTGAAGGATTTAAAAGCAGGATATATCTTCTTTAAAGTTCCACATTACACATTATAGTGGTGCATGACCTTCTTGACTCGGTACAAGTCAACTCACTACAGTTCACCTTGCACTGAAATAACAACTCACTACACAAACATGTTAAACATGTGTATACACACACACACACACACACACACACACACACACACACACACACACACACACACAC